GTTCAAGTAAATATTTATTTGAAAATAGTCAAGTAACCGATTATTTGAATCAAATAAATTTTTTTTAAGTCTAGCCAGCTGCTCATTAGCTGTACTTGATAATTTTTTCCGTACCCTTTAAAAAGATATACAAAGCATAAATAACAAATATTAATAAAATAAAATATAAACCTAATTATAAAAAAGTAATATTTAAAAAACTTTTATTTATTAACTTTGATGATTTTCGAACAAAAATTGAAATTATTTCTCGAAAGATACACTTTTGAAGTAAGCCTTAATTTTTTCTGGAAGAAAAGATAACTTCTTTTCGATTACTTATTTACTCACTCTCCCAATTGTATAGATTCAATATTTTCACCATACACAGAATCAAGACACATGTATTTTTCTTGTTAAAACGTATTTTGCATACTTTATTAAGGAACACTCCCGAAAGAAATTCCACTGAATTATGCCACCTTCGAAAATTCGATGCATCACACAAAATTAGTCAAATTCGATTTTTTTATATTATAAAAATGAACTTCTGCTCCTCTGTAAGTATAGTATGGTTGTCGGTTGATCAGCTGAGTTCAGAAAGAACAGTGCGCACGCATCATTTGATATCGTGGGTGGAATATCGCAAAGGGTAGAGAAAGCGAATTTCCACTTGCCTCGTGGTGGAACTCTACGACTAGAACTGTAGGCACCCTTAAAACTTCCAGACAGTACCAGTGGTGTCCCTATCATTTCTATTATGAGAGCATGCGCAACTATTTTCCCAACCCTCCTGCCGAGCTAAACTCACCCCCGGTCAGCGGTCTTCGAATATACATATATACAATATACTCCTTTGCCTTGCTGAAGATCAAGTTAATTTTTATTGACAAGTATAAATAAAATTTTTTGATACGATTGCAAAAAAATAAAAAAAATTCTTTTATTTTTTTGTTGTAACAGAAGATAATATTTGAATCGTAATGATCTTTTTAAATAAAATCTTTAAATGTACGTATGATTCTGTGAATATGTACATAAATATCCAAACTCCATATGGGAGAAGTTGATTACTTCACGTTTTTGCCAAAGTCTCGATTCTATTTTATATCTAATAATAAAACTGTCATTTCTTTAAAAACAATCAATTATTTATTGGATTAGAAATTTTATCATCTGAAGCACATTCACATTCAATTGTTTTATTTTCTTATTGCTTTTAAGAGAATTTCACTACCAGAAAAATTTTAGCCTTTTGACATTTTTTTTGTTCTGAGCTCGAGGTCAAACCGCTCAACCGTTAAACCCACCGTTTTTGGGCTCGCTGAAACCGAATCTGAAGTCTTTTTAACCCCATCACGTCAGGCTTTTTACATAACATAAAAAAAAATTCAAAAATCAAATTTTGGGATTTTTTCGGGGTTATCTCAAAAACCTGAAGTGATGGGGTTAATTAAACTTCAGATATGGTTTCAGCGACCCTAAAAGACTTATCAATCAGAATGTCCGCTTTTTCATAAAAATGCCCAATTTTTTAAATAAACCTCCAAATTCTCGAAAAATTAAAACTTGATTTTCTATTAAATTTTCTATTATTTTTCATTGCCGATTATTATTGTTACACGTTTTTTATGATTCTGAACAATAAACCGTATGAATTTTGAGAAACATCAGTTTTTTCGAAAAACACAGTACCTAAGAAAAAAAATTGTAAAATCATTAAAAATGACTTTTTTGCAACACTAACCTCTACAGTTGAATTTTACACACGGAAAACTGTACGTTAAGTGACAGTTTTTCTTACAGTGTAAAATATATTTCTTTAAGAACTGCTATATCTTTTTTTTTTTAATAGTGAGATATGGTTTCAGGTTCTGAGAAAAATGTAAAAAAAATTTCCCCTCTAAACAAGGTCAAGTTTGATTAGTTTAAATTATACTCTTTTTTCATGATTTAGAACAATCAATCATATAGATTTTTAAATTTTTTCAAACAATAAAAGGGTAGAGACGGTTAAGTATGTAAAAGTTTGCCAATTTGAATTCAACTCATATTGGCATTTCTTATTGCTACCCACATGAGTATAAAATCCTGTTAATATCAGACTTCAAGAGTCTTTTTTGGTAGTTATGGAGTTTAAAAAAATAATATAATATTATCATTGAAAATGTTCTTTACTTGTATTAAATAATTTAATTTACTTGAATTAATAGAAAAAAAATGTTGTGTCAAATAATGTTTCAAATTAAATAACCAAATATATATTTACACGGAAAAAAATCTTCACCTGGAATAACGATAAGTTTCACTAAATCAGCAAAAGTTTTCGCTATTCTAGAGAAACATATTGCTGTTTCTGATAGAAAATTTTTATTTAAATATTTAATATAATTTAGTTGCAATTAATAAATATTTTTGATTTGAATTAGTTGAAGCAAATAATTTATTTTCAGGACATTTTTTAATTAATATTTATGTTTTGTTCCTCTTTTTTTATTGTAAAATAAAGAGAAATTAGAATTTAATATACAAAAGAAATATCAAAAGAGAGATTACAATTTAAAAAATGTAAATAAAATTATACACTCCAACAAATGATTTAAAGCCTTAATAGTATATCAGAAACCAACTACTAAAGATGAAATTGGCAATAGACTTTAAATATCGATATTTTATAGGTATAGTAAAGAATAGTGCAAATTTTAATAAAATTAAAATGAAGAAGGTCAGAGTTTATATTGTCTCGTTAGAAATACACTTCATAATTATTTGAAAAGCAATAAGAAATCTTTAAAAATACTTAAACGATCATTTTCAAAGCATCATTAATACCAATAATGTGACTGACAATGAGTTTAATTTAAAGAGTTAAGTTAAATTGCAATTTCTTCATCTTTAAATTAAAAGATAGAGTATTATAACATTATCTAATTTATTTCTATTGATTAGTAAAAATAAAAAAAGGTAATAAATAAATAATTAAACAAGGAGATTGCAAACAAGGTTTGACACATGATATTTATTCTATTGCAAATTTACATTCGAAGTAATTGTACGCTTCAAAACCACCAATGTTCGATATATCTGGTTACTATAATAGAAAACAAATTAAAATTGACTGCTCAACTGTGATTTTTAATTATTTCATGAACACATTTCTTTTTGTTACAAAGGTATACATTTTCATATTTTTAATACAAAAGTCACATATGAATATTTATGTTTTATTGACTTTTTTTTTAATTTAATTTATTTTTTATATTTTTATTTACATTTTGATTATCTTAACGAAAAGCTCTTTTGTAAATGGAGAATTCTATGCTTACACCTTCGTACGAGCATGTGAAGTAAAATTTTCTTATGTAAAAATATGAAAATTAGGTATCAATTTTTAAAGAACAATATTTTCCCTAAGAGAGAGAAAATTTATTTATTTTTACTATTTCGATGCTTATATTAATGAAAATCTATCTATAAAAAATATATCAATTTTTAAAATCTACAATAAAATATTTAATCAATACAATTAAATAAAGTAATTATTATTTAAAATTTACAAAGTTTGTCAAACCAAAATTCATGCTGATAACTGATGCACCTAATTTTTAGTGTAAAAATTATATATTCAAAATAATCTTTCTATATTTATAATAACAACAAATTTTTGTTTACTTTAAAGTAAACATAATTTTATCATATTTTACAATTAATTATTATTCTTAAAGAATCTGTAAGGAAAAATAAAATAATTATTCTTCCTCTGACATTTGACATACTTAAACGCATGCCCTTTACCTTGCAACAGATTTGGAGCATGCGTGATAAAAGATACGTGCAATTTTATATATATATTACTTTTATTGATTAAAATATTATTCTTATGCTACCAGATGTTTTCTAATTTCTAATCAATTTTCAGAGAAAAAAAAATAATTATTATAATTTAATAGAAATTCTGCAATATTATTATATTGTTTGCAATATTGGAGGCGCATGAATATATACCATAAAATTTATAATATTTAAAATTTCCATTTAACAGAATTTCAATAGAAAAAATGTTCTTCTACCTGAATTTTTATTTTTCGAATTTATGTTCAATCTTGAGAATTTTTATATAACAAAATTTCTCTTTATTCAACATTTTATTTAAAAAATTCTAATTTAATTAAGTTTTAATTTATCAGAATTCCCATCAACAAAATTTTTAGTAATTCAAATTTTTCGATTTTTAACTTTGTTCAATTTAACTGAAATTTTAATTCCAGAATATCAATTTCACCGAAATTTTATTTATCTGAAATTTTATTTGCACGATTCATCACAACGATTTTGACCAAAATTTTAAATGTCCAGACAAATAATACCGGTAGAGAGATTAACGCGCGATTTTTAAAATTGACTAATCATAAATTAACAAGAAAATTCTTATTGTTCAATTTAAAAACTCGCGCCAAAATTTTTCTGTCGGTTGTTTGTTCGGATATTTTTAGTTTCGGTCAAATGAAAAAATAGCGTTTTATGGTTTCTATTAAATAACAATTTGTGCAAATAAAAATTTGGAGATATGAAGATTGAATTCCGCTTTTGATTTTTTATATTACAGAATTTTACTCAATCGAAAATATATTTAACAGAATTTTTATTCGACAAACCTTTAATTTAAGCGAATAAACATACATTAGAAACATTTCGCTGGCAATTTAAAACTTAAAAATTAAAATTCGAAAAAATATAAATTTTCTAAAGTAAATATTGTGTTATATAAAAATTCTTTAATATATAAAAAATCGGTTTAATGAAAATTCTGTTAAAAAATAATTCGAACAAATAATAAAAATTCGGATAAAAGAAAATTCTACCTTAAAAATTTTATCAAATAAAAAATTCTAATAAATTAATTTCAGACATTATTCATGAGTATCTTTTGCTCCAGTTTAAAATAAAATCCTAACTAAATAATAATCCTAAATATTTTAATATAAGTATAATAAATATATTATTTTTAAAATGAAACTTACTCGTTTTTTTACAATGTTCCTGAAGATTAGCTGTGATAACATCATATTGCTTATCACGTTTTGCAATAAGATTATCTCGTCGTCGAAGTTGACGAATTAAAAGTCCCCCTTCATAACTGACGTGTTCCATTAAACTTTTAAGAAGCACACGAAGTTCATTTTCCGCTGTGAAAAAACCATTTTTTGTTTAATTTAGAAGTCAAAAGAAGAATGCAAAAAATTAAAATTTTTAATTCCTTCAACATTATATTAGGGAGCACATGAATTTGCAATAAAAATCATTAGTTAGAATTTCCATTTAAAAGAATTTTATTAGTTATAATTATTAGGTATATAATTACACGACTTTTCATTTTTTCAATTAATATTTGACAGAATTTCTTTTTACCTAATTTTCTATTTTAAAAATTTTAATTTAACAGAATATTAATTTAGTAGAATTCTTATTCAACAGAATTTTCAATGATTCGAATTATAAAATGGCAGAATTTCCAATCCACTGAATCTTCATATCTTCATTTGTCCGAATTTTTATTTGCACGAATTGATAAAATTCTTGAAACACCAAAATTGAATTTGTATAAAATTGTAAATGTCCGGCAAATAATTAACAGAAAGATTGAAGTATGATTTTTAAAATTTACCAATCTTAATTTTATTGATATATTATGATTAGTCAATTTTAAAAGAGGGGACGATATTTTTCTGTTTATTTTTTATTCTGTTAATTTGCAATTTCGGGTAAATGAAGTTTCGTTGTTTTAAAAATTCTATCAAATAACAAATAAATGAAAATTCAGCGAATTGTTAATTCTGGCACTTAAAAAGTCAAGTAATATTTTATTTAATAAGAAATCCAATGCTGATTTGAAAAATGATAATACAAACCAAATTTTACTTTATAAAAAAAACAATTAAAATATGAAAATTGAAATTATCTTTTTATATGCGATTTTTGACATGGTCTAATTTGTCTGCTTTGTGGAGGTACCAAGTTATCAGATAAAAAAAAACCTGTTTTTATTTGAGGCGTTTTAATTATTGGCATTTATTAACAATATAAGAAAAGAATAATTTATTTCACCACAGCCCGAGTTCGTTTCCTTCGCATTATAAAATTCTAAATAACACACTCCTAATAATGAGGGTTAATGGCTTCAAAGTGGAACTTTGAAGAAAGTTTAAAATTTTGATACTTTATTTTAGGTATTTTTATAAAAAGAGTTTTTTTATATGTTACATCGTAAAAGATTTGTTTAAAAATTATTATATCTAATTAAATTCTTTAAATTCATCCCCCCGACATTAAACATAGAATTTTATAACCTTTTTCAATAAAATTAATTTTAATTTTCAAGTTAATTAATTAGGGAAATAACTTTAATTTTTTTAAATTAATATATTTTAAAGAAATACATATATAAATACACGGAAAGAAAATCCTTGGCAATAAATGTTAAAAATGATACAAAAATGTAGTATATTCTTTAGCAAGTCATGGAAACTAAGTCTATTTATTAAAAATTAATATATTTTCAGCAAAAGCTTTGCAGAAACAATTTTAACAGAAATTAAAATTACTATTCTAAAATTCATAAGAAAATTTTCTAATTTTTACTAAAAGTATATGAAAAAGGGAAGCGGAATTAATAAGCGCGCATTTCGTTTGCTAAAACTACACGGAAAATTGAAAACGACTTTAAAATAAAATAAAAAAATTGTTCTCCATTATAGCAGAGGATGCAGGTATGGTTTATACACACAACTACACACGCACGCAGGTTCGCTTTGATTTTCTTTACATATATTCCTACCTAAATTATCGAAAATACGCATATACATAAACGCAGAATATCGCAACGCACACACTTATATTATATACATGTTTCACGAAGGTAGAAAATATTCTTATATACTAATAAGATAGATTTTAATGCACTTGCGAGAAACGCTTAATTTATTATTTTAAATTATATGCGCTATTATTTTTTAATATTCATAAGAAAACAATAACTAACTTAAACTAACGTTTAAGAGGTCATTTTTTAAAGTAACAATGATCATGAATTTCTTATGATTTCTTATAAAATTCTTGATAATCTAAAAAACCAGTACTTCTAATTTAATTAGATAGTGAATTGAGTAAATATTTAAAACTTTATTAGCAAATTTTGAGAAATGTTTTTACTTTTAAAAATTAATTACTACTCGTTTGTGAACTTTTAAGTTGCTCGGTTATAACATCCACATTCAATTCAGTTTAATCTTAATAATGATTAAAGAAATACAATATATATTTTACATAAATTCCAAAAACAACCCACATAGCACGACTTCTTGCTGTGAGGTTACTGTAAGGATATCTGTAGGGTTTGTAAGGTTACCGTGTAAGCCTATAGTAAACTTGAGGTCATCTTAAAACTTCCGCCATTACTGTAAGCTTACACAGTAAAGCTAAGGTAAACTTACACAGTAAGGTCGTGGTAAGTTTACATGGTAAGGATGTGGTAGCTTACACGGTAACCTTACAAACCCTACAAATATCGTTACAGTAACCTCCCAGCAAGAAGTCGTGCTGTGTGGGGGAGTGATTATACGAGAGTGACGTTTGCAGCACAAGGCGAAGCTCTGGCTGACAATGCATAAAAGCAACCACAGTTAGTCATGTGCCCTCATTGACTTGAACCCGGCAGAAAAAACTTGTACAAGAAAATGTACAAGTTCTTGTACATGTTCATTAATGAACTTGTACATTTTCTTGTACATGTTCGAGTAATGTTCTTGAACAAGTTCAGCATCCGGAATTGAGACATGTTCTTGTACTAGAACTTGTACAAGATCCTGGACAAGAAAATATACTTGTACAAGAAAATGTACATATTCTTGTACATATTTTTTTGTGCAGGTTTCATATACATTTTCTTGTACCAGATGTGGAACATGTTCTTGTACATGTTCACTTATGTCTTTTAAATTAAAAATTAAAAACTTTAAAGGCTGCGCAGTAGTTTTTTTAAGCCTTTACAGCTGCGCAATAATTTTTAGCATGCATAAGTGAAGATTCTTAATAATTATAGCTTATTAAAATTTCAAATTTTTTTCAAAAACATTTTTAAACAAATGTTCTTGTACAAGAACATAAACGTGTTCATGTAAAAGTACTTGTACATGAAACCTGCACAAAAAATATGTACAAGAACATGTACATTTTCTTGTACAAGTATATTTTCTTATCCAAGATCTTGTACAAGTTCTAGTACAAGAACATGTCTCAATTCCGGATGCTGAACTTGTTCAAGAACATTACTCGAACATGTACAAGAAAATGTACAAGTTCATTAATGAACATGTACAAGAACTTGTACATTTTCTTGTACAAGTTTTTTCTGCCGGGAAGAACAGGTATACTTATAACCTTATCTTCAGCCGCCGCTGTCTTTCGCGATAGAAGAACCACTTATTTTATCGCTTCATGCCGAACCTCTTAAATTTGTCTACCATGTTCTAACAAAGCAAGTTATAATACAGCCATGCCGTATGTGTAGAAATTTATCGTGGCCGTCCTAGTGTTAGCCTATAGCTAGATAGTGTTTGTCGTGGAAATTTATTCTCAAATAACTGCAATGGCCCCTCAAAGTTCATGTGCAGTTTTTATACAGTTTACGCTTTATTTCTTTAGATATGTAGACTTTCTGGAATTTAGCTAGTTATTGTCTAGAATGCTTGCTTGAAAATTTTAAACAAGTTCATACAGTAGGCTATAGCTAGAATTTACCAAGGAATCGGTCTAGGATACCGCCATGAAAAATTAATATAAGTCCGTCAAGCAGGTGTCACTGAATTCGCTACAGTAACTAGCTAGCAAACGAATTCAGTCATTGCAAAAATTTTTAAAATAACTTAAATAAAATAATAAAAATTAAATATAATAAATAAATAAAAAAATATTTATTGTAATTATTTATTATTATTTTTATGTTATAAAATTTAAATTTAAATGATTAAATTAATAAAAATTATTAATTTCAATTTTAGTTTAAACAAATTAATTTAAAAATGAAAAAAATAATCTTATTTTAAACAAAAAAAGTTTTTTTTTACCAAATGGTAAAAATAAAAAAAATGAAAATATTGACTTATATATGTTAAATAAATTATTTAACATTAAAAATAAATTTATATTTAATTATTATTTTTTTATTGTTCTGCTCCTCAAGTCTTCATCTTCCTCAGTCGCAACTTATCAAAGAATTTTGTATTTATATTCCCATGTTAAGGTGGCGTAATTGCTAGCGTGTTAGTCTGCGGAGCGTTAGGTTCGATTCCAGCGAGCTTTAAATATTTTCCAAAATTTATGTAAGCGATTGCGTTAAATAATAATAGGTAATGGCACTAAAGTTACCAACGTTGAATCGACGAAAATAATTTTTTTCCTTAGATTAAATATTTCCCCGCCTTGGGTGAGGATTTTTATTGTTTAAGGATCATAGTAGGTCATAATAGGTATAGGGGTAAATATAAGGTCTCCAATTATAAATAATGTGTTAATTGTATAATTAATTCCATATTTAATTTTTTTGTGTAGGTGTTAGTACCTGTTTGAAGTTGAGTCGACTCTTGGGTAGATAGAAACTGTATATTTTGATATCATAAAACTGACTAGAAATTATTATTTTACTAGAAAGGGACATACCCTACTTGATTCTGTCCAGTTTCCCTCTCAAGTTGCTCGATTGAATGTAGCTCAACTGTACAGTTTCCAATACATTTCCACGATAAATATCCACACGGGAAAGTATAAAAAAGTCTTTAACGCGCAAAACTTTGATATGCCACATATGCGTAATATTTGAGTAAGTGTGGTATAAACTTGTCTTTTTAGTATGAAACTTGTCTATGCTAATAAAGTTTGTCATGTAGCCCCTTATTGTATACTTATTATACCTTTAATACAGCTGCGCCAAGCGGAGATCCCACCTAGCTCATCCTACTACGATTGCAGAAGTTTTATGCTTTTTCGGTATTAGACTCTTGCGACAGACCTTTTCATGCTGATCGTTCTGTCCATATCTAGCGCATATAATGACGCATGACTTCGAAGAGGACAGAATGATCATCATGAAAAGGTCTACTGGCGAGAAGGTATGCGTGGCCTAATCGTAAAT